AACAATCTATCTAAACTGGTACACAGTAGGAAAGGCAGGCAGTCACACTGTGTATCTCATATACAAACTAGTAATATTTTCTCCAACATCAAATTTTTGTTAACTTATCATAGGTTGTGTGTACATGTGTATGTGTATGTCAGCTTGTATCTGGAGGTTAAGGGGGTAGAGCCCGATGAACCCTAGGGATTGAATTAAGAATCAAGTTTACATCAATGTTAGTTTTCCTATTTTAAGCAATTAACTAGGTGTAGCATCAGAAACATGACACCACAAGTATCTCAATTTCAAAACAAAAGAAACACCTTAGAAACTAGTGATTGTATTGTATCTGATTATTGCTAAAGAATCCTAAAAACTTTTGGCAAAATTCATGATATCTACGACACTACTTTTCAAACTTGAATGTATACATCACGTGGGGACCTTATTAAAGTCCACATTCTGAGTCAGTATGGGTGGCATGGCACCTGTGGTTCTGCACTTTTTAATAAGTTTCTAGGGTATTCCAGGGCTGCTGGTCCATTTTGCACAGCAAGGGTTTAAAAAGCTCTGAACTGTTTTTTCCATTTTCTGAGGGTGTTGAAAATTAGCTCAGTTTACTATTGCAAGCCACCATTGTCTCTTTTCTGGACCTCTGCAGTGACCTTATACTTGGTCTCCCTCCTTAAATTCTCTTATCCACTACAACCAATTCTCTAAATGGCGCCCGTAGTGATCATTTTAATATATAAATCAGTTGCATCACTCCATTGCTTAAAACCTTCTATTGGTGTCACAGTGCATTAGAATAAAATCTAAACTCCTTAGCACAACTGCGCAGTTCTAAGTGGTGAGGCTGCCACCGTCTCGAAAATCATCTCATACTCTTCTTCCTCTTGCTCACTTTGCCTGGAGTGCTTTGCAGCTGCCCTCCATGCTGTTTGTAATACGGGCCCTCTGTAGCTTCCCCTGACTAGCTTCTTCTGACTATTCAGGTCTCTGCTTACGTATTAACCACTTTTCAGTGTATCTTATGAATAAATTCAGAGAAATACATTCTTGGGAGATTGTTGTGCTGATAATCTAACAGTGAATTTCAGTCAATTCAGTTAATGAGGGATATAAAAGTAACTTTAAATTTTGGGCTGATGTCTAAAATAAATATTTTTTGGTTGATTTCAATTCATATTAGAGATTATTTCATCTTGCATCTTAAAGATTTTTGTGTATTTTTATAGTATTAATAGATGTTTCTTTTTTTGTATCAAAGTCACTGTGTGCCCAGTATTCTGCTGACAAACGAGAAGATGAGAAGATGTGTGATCACTTGATAAGAGCAGCTAAATATCGAGACCATGTGACAGCAACTCAGCTAATCCAGAAAATTATCAACATTCTCACAGACAAGCATGGAGCCTGGGGAAATTCTGCAGTAAGGTAAAGGGATACCTTTAGGATTTGACCACTGATTTTTTTATAGAAGGCCTGGCTTTAGATAAATGGCTCTGGATATGATCAAGGCCAGGTGAAGAACAGAGTAATTTAATTTTGTATTTTATCATCTACTATTTAAAGTGAAGGGGAAAGAGGTTAATCAGTATGGGTAGAGTTATGCATCTTTGATATTTCAGTTCCCTCAACTACTTCTAAAAGAATATTTGCTCAAAATGTATTCATTTTGAAATGAACTGTTAAGGGAAGCAGTTAATGTAAACTATTTTATTAGCTACACGTATATCTGAATTTATGCAAATACAATAAATTTTATTTTAAACTATTTCCTATTTTATACTTTTGAATTTTTAACACATCAATTTGAAAACGTAATTTGTGTTTTCTTGAATTATATTGCAAATTCCAAGACTATGATGATAAAAATTGTTAAATGCTGAGTTTAAAATGTTATTCACTGTGTCTACTTTCTTAAGATTACCAATCTGAGCAGGATGTTTTTGATGCTAATCTCTCGAAACAATAATTAAATTACTTTCTAAGATTAAGGAACTTAGTCAAATTGTAAATCTATGCTACACATCTTAGAAATATGTTTGACTCAGTAATGTTAATGAAAAAGTTCTGTATTTTGCCATTAGAAAGAGATCTTTTTTAATTCCTTGTTTCTTTATAACTTTTGCCAGAAAACAACAACAAAAGAAAATAGTAAATTGCTTATATAATATGATGTTATTGGTTTCCACTTGTATTTCAATCAACTGATGTGTCTAGCGGACACCTAAGTCTTGTTTTAGAAATTTTCCAGGGAATAGAAAATAACTATAATTTTTTTAAAGGTGAACTTTAAATTATTTAAGTTGAAAGCTGCTTGTTTCAGGTTGTTTTTGTAACATTAAATTTATGGGGATAACAGTGGTTAATAACATAACTTTCAGTTATATCCCGTTGTGTGATTACTACCCAAAGTTGTCCCCTCATGTCACCATATATTTGACCTCTTTTACTTGCTTCATCCTCCAAACACCCCCTTCCTCTCTTGTAACCAGCATACTGTTGTGTGTGTCTATGAGTTTGTTTGTATTATTGTTTGTTGCTTTTTGTTTTATATCCCATATATGAGTGAAGTCATATGATTCTTGTCCCTTTCCGTCTGACTTAATTTTACTTAGAATTATATTCTCAAGATTCATCCATGTTGTTGCAAATGGCAATATTTCGACACTTTTTAGTATTCTATTGTACATATACCGCATGTTCTTTATCCAATCATCTAAGGAAGGACACTTAGGTTGTTTCCATGTCTTGGCTACTGTGCATGATGCTGCAATGAACTTAGGGGATGTTTTTGGTTTGAGTACAAATATATAATGTATTTTTACTAAAAAAAAAAATAGAGTAGATATATGTCACATATAGATGCTTATTATGAAGAATACGTAAATGAAAAGAATTACATTTTGGGCATATCAGTTTTGGTATTCAGAGGAACAAATGCAGATCAAAGACTTCAGGACAAAAGGACTGAATAAAGGCAGGAACCGTGTGTGTTTGTTTTAATCCTATTCCAGTTGATTTCAGCTGCCAGAGTGGTCATGGTAGTGACATGAATTACTGGGTCAGCGTTCTCTGGTGCCTTATCTTGCAACATCTAAAAGCCTGTGAGTGTGTGTCTGGGGCTGGGAAGCTGTACTGGGAGTTTTAGAATTTCAGAGTACAGTAAAACCATGGATTGCGAGTAACTTGGTTTGCAAGTGTTCCGCAAGACGAGCAAACATTTCTAATACATTTTAACGTGGTAAACGAGACATGACTTGTTTGTTTCTGGAACGAATTCTGCTCGCAAACCAAGGTATTACTGTACTTTAATAGTACAGATTTGATGTAGTCATTTTGACATCCAGTACTAAATAAATAAATTAGGATATTATAATATTTTGACATACAGTGCCTGGCACATATTGGGAGCTCAATATGTATTTTTAAAGTATTTTTTTAACCTAAAAGGAGTTTCATAATTAAAAAATTGAAAACCTTTAGGTAACTTATGACAAATGTTTCATTTACACTAAGTATGTCATTTTTAGGAGATCAAAATTCTTTCTAGAGATAGCTAACTATACCTTTGTATAGCACAGAATAACTGTGCTACCAACATGGAAGCATGTTTCTCCTGAAGTGATTTCGGCGTAATAAAATATGTTGGAGAACTACATGGACTGTGCAGTGTATTTACGTAGAAAAATAATTAGTGTTTCTGTAATAGAGTTGTTCAAAGGCATCAACTCTGTTATTCTATACAGCCAGAAACAATTGAAGTAAATCCTGACATTTTAATATTTCCAAAAGTCCACAGAGCAAAACATACATTGCGTTTTTCCTCCCAAATAAAAATAGCTGTCAAACTGTCAGCTTTTAAATGTTTGCATTTTTAATTAAGAGCAACAACCAGAGATGTCTCATCTAAAGGAAATTAATATTAGTG